CCTCCTCCTCTTCTTCTTCTTCTTCTTCTTCTTCTTCTCCTTGCTCTTCCTCCTCCTACTCCGCCTCCCTTCTGTTTCACGGTGAAACATCGTGCCGCGCCGCGCGCTGCATCGCGCGGCCGATGCACAGAGGAAGGCCTCGATATCCTCGCAGCGTGCAACACACCGGCGTGGCAAGCGACAAGTGCGATCCGCCGCACATCCTCTTCCTCCTCCCGCGCGAATCTTCTTATCCACCTCGGAAACCCTCGCGCCGCCTCCTTCCACTTCCCCGTCGTTCATCTGCGAAGGGTTAATGGGGTTTCACGGAAATTGCTTCGCGCCTAGCGACGGATAGAAACCGCACGCGAAATCCGCCGCGAAACGAGGTTCTCATCAAGAACAATGTGGTGAGCTGCGGGAAGAGAGTTTAAGGAGAGGCGGAGCCGTTATAATGCCGTAACGTGAAGTTCGTCAATCTAAACTTTTTCCGCGGATTAATAGCCCGATTAAGGAACAGCGAGACGCGCTTAGCATCTACTTTGCAATTGTAAATGTTGAATTCTTTCCTCATTTTTAATATATATAGTTGTATTTCATTCTTTTTTATCGGAAAATTTATCATTTTGCGTTTTGAGTCTCATATTCCGCACAGCTTTATAATAATTGAAACTATTTTTTGCGATCTCATCTATATCTATGTTCTCGAGATAAATCGTCAAACATTATAAATATAGATTTCCGCCAAACTATGTCAAACGTGATCGAAAAGCTAATACGCTTGCTTGTACTTGGCCACAAGGGAGAAACTAGCCTGCCTAATGAACCGATCGCTGTATCGATTAATACCGGTTGAGATCGATTGATTGCGTATCTCGTCAAATTTGTCAACGGGTGCGAACCAGCTGCAGACACAATAATTCCACGCGACTAAATACAGCTATTTTGCGAAATGGCACTTGAAATTGCGGAATATAAAACTAGAAAGAAAAAATAGAAAAAATGCTTTGATATGCAAAAAAGACAAAAAAGAGACAAGTGGCGATTAGACGTGACAAGAATTTTACAAATGCATATAACTTGAGTAAAAAATTGATAAACACTTGACAAAAAGTGCAATCAAATGGCACCGATTGCGTTGCATCTGCTTCGCGTCGCAAAAGACTCGTCAGAAATAAATAATGCTTTTGTATCACAGAATCGAATAACTTGCTTGCGTATTTTCATCTTGTCTTTTATTCGAATTTTCACTAGCAATTTGATTGCTTATCGATTTATATATCATTCTTTAACTTTATTTTTATCTGTAAAGCTTTTAAAAAGAATAATCTTATCTTTATACAAAATATAATATTAATCTCTAGCCAAATTAGATAAACCGTAAACAGTACAATAATTCTTAGAACAAATTAAGATCAAGAAATTGATAGGAAACAAATACGTTTTCTTTAGCTTGTCCTATTCTTTCACACGCGCACATATATATCTGTGTATCTCTATCGGGCCACAGGAAGTATTTTAGTATCGTCGTTCCAACGTTGACGTGTACGTTCACGCCGATCAGCAATTTACGATCGTCGAAGGGCGCTAAAAGCAAGCTGAATCTTTTAAATACGAGCCACTACAGCGTTGATCCTCAGGACGTCTTTCTTCCGCCCTTTCTCTCTCTTTACCTTTTACGTTCGTCTTCTCGTATCTGTCGTTCATATACATACACACACACACATACACACGTACGCGAGGCGTCTTAATACATACGAAAGACTCACGAGCGTTCAACGCGGCCCAATTACTTTAAATTGAGTTATAACCGGATCAAATTGCCGATAATTGGCGATTGCATAGCTTAATCGGGTGCCATCTCCCCTCTCGTCCTTCTCCTCTACGATCCCGCTAAGCTGGCACCGTCGACGAACGCGCTGCGCAGCCCTTACCTCTCATCCCCTCGCCCTCGCTCGTCGTTCGCCTTGTATATGAAGTTATTTTGCAAAGTGGTTTCGAAAAAGAGGGTGGGCGTGCAAGAAAGAACAATGAACGAGAGAGATGAAACGAGGGCGAGATAGAGAGAGAGACGGAATGAGAGAGGTACCTTTTCGCGAGCGAACGAGCGAGCGAGCGAGCGAGCGCGGACGTCCTTATCCTTCGACAATACAAATTGCTGATTATGCGCCCGGCTTTTATGTACCTTCTAATTGGGCCGCCTCGGCTCTTGGGAAAGATCGACCGATCGCACGATCGGCCCTCGTTAACCCCTAACGCTCTCCGTGTACGCCGAGGATCCGTATAAGCGTATATACTTCGCGGCAGAGGTCTATCGGTACCGCACTCAACAACGAGGCTTCTCCGCTTGGCTTATCTATGACGTCACCGACCGAATCGCATTGAAACAGTTTACACAGTGTTCTGAATCTCTGAGATTTCTTTTGCTAAATTATTATCAAATTTGCACTTCGTTTAATTATTATATTTAACAAATAGGATAATGCAAAAAATAAATAATCAAAATATAGAAATGAGAATAGGTAGATAGTGGGAAAATTGTGGGACAAGATAATATTGTAGAGTTTTTTATAGAAAAGAATCATTTCCCCCTCCCCCAACCCTGGATTCATCAGAAAGTTCACACTCGAGAATCATTTAATCTCTTACGAAACACTGCATGAATATCTATTCGCGCGTGATCGTAAATCTAATCCTCGCAAGCTGACGCAGACGTAATCGTCGTTCGCATTTATTTTTTTTTCCAGAGTTAATTGGGAGCGGCTTGTTATTATAATTGTGATTACATATTTGTGCTATTACTTTATATTGTAATACCTTGAAATAGCAATGATGTATCTCTCGATGATCTCGAGGTCGATTTAAATAGAACATCTATAAAATGCGTGTGTCGTCATACGCCGAACTTCGATACGACTAGAAAAATTAATTCAACGCATGGAAGCTATTAAATATGATATATAGGTGTTATGAAAACATAAAAATGCCGGGGCAGCTTGACGTGTTACCTCATCGTCGATATCAATCGAATAATTACAATTCCACACAAAATCTGGTTTTTTACCTGGCGTGATGCGTTATGACGGCATGATGCCGTCAGCGGTCCACCCGTTGGTCTTAACACGATTTTTAGTAAACGAAATGGATAGAACCACTTTGTAAAACCGTCAACAACTCCAGCAATTAATAATTACGCGGAGACACGGCTCATTACTCACGGCCGCGCAACCGGTGATGGTTTTACGCGAACGCCGCGTTTCGCGCAATCAATTAGACGTCATTACGGTTGTCTCCTCGAATTATTAATTTGCTTAATCAGGAAACAGGCAGGTAAGAAAAAGAATGAGAGGACACGCCGCAGTATGGCCGGTCGTATGGCCACACGATCCCACATGATTCCTTATTCGTCTTGAGCTGAAACCGACTCTCGCGTACATTACGATAACTTGTCCATCGTGTCCCAGGAAAGCCATTCTGATATTCCGCGCGACGCATTACACTCTTCTGTATATTGCACGTTCCTTTCTCATCGTCATCGTTCCGGCAGATCTCCGGAATACATCCTCTGCGAGCCGCTTCGAAGAGAAAGCGACCAGTGTTTTTTTACTAAAACGATCCATTACGGTCTGTTCTGGGCCATATTATAAAAAAATGCACGTATTTATAAAATAATTGAATATTATTAATTATGGAATATTTAAATAAAATAAAATACAGCGAAGAATTTATTAATAAGTAATTTTTATCTTTGCTCGATGCGAATAAAACAAATAGTAACAGTAGTGACTCTTTATATTTATATGTTCCATTTCTTAGAAAGTTCCGTTTGTGCATAAAGTCTCCCCAGCGGGATCAGTCGTTTTCGTAGAAGTTCACTTCTGTGCGTCTCGTAAGCCGGCTTGTCTGTCGATATTTCACCTGTGCCGAGCAGGAGTCGCACGCACGGACGGTTAAAATCGTCCTGTATGCGGCAGTGTTGCCCAACTCATGCATAGAGTCATGACGGGTTTAAGCGATTGCTTATTGCTTGACTGGTGTAACCAGTCGCGGTGGAACTGACGCACTGCTTCGAGTCCCACTCATTTGTTATCCGCATTAGTACGTGCATTGCACACGCGAGCGACTATGCGTATGTACATTCTGGGAGAACTGCACGTCTTGATTGCATCGTGTACTCCGATGATGTACGTCGTCTCGATTATCGGTATTGAATCAGTTATCTGTCTCGCGAGTTGATACGCCAAACTTGGATTGTCAATTTTTTCCAGCTATCCGACAGCTCATTTAGAATTTTTTTGCTGTCGTCTGTTTAAAATTGATTAATTTATACGAAATGTTGTCAGATATTTTTTTAGAACTGTAAAAATTTACTATGATTTTTTCGAATATAATAAATATTGTAGGTGTGTAATTGATATAAAAAAATATAGCAAACATATAACATTATATAATTTCAATATATTTAATAGTCAATATATAAAAAATATATACAGTTATATCTTATTGTTTTGTGAATTATGTGCAAAGAAATATGGATCAATAAAATCATTTAAAATGTCATATATTTGTTTTTGGAATTGTAAAAATGTAATAAATATAACAACAATTTTTTTAAATATTTAATAATGAATATAATAAATATTGGGGATGAGGTGTGTAATTCGACAAGCATCGAAAATGACAAATGTAGAAAAAGGCATCACGTATGGTTCAATCCGGATGTAAAGAACGATCGACCCATCAAGGTCAGTTGCGTGGGCTTCTATCCGTAACTCGATGATTTTGCAACGTTCGCGCTTCGTGCTGCAATTGATTAATGACACCTGCAGAGTCGGCGCATCACGTTAATATACATAGTATATTCAACGTGCATCTTGTACGTAGCAGCAAATACAACAATCACAGCAAACACAGCAATCTCGCACAAACACAAGAAAGACTCTTAGTTTCTAGTGTTGGCAAAGATCTGTAACAAATCGGATTGTTTAATTTAAGAAAAATCAGCACTAAGTTTTTGAAAAAATACATTAAGTTACTAAATATAAATCAAATTGACATCGCAATATCATTATATTATTTATTATTTTGTACGAAATGAGCACAACTTCTATCACGCAGGGATCTTTGGACATTCTGACAAATAAAAATATTAGACCGAAACAAAAGTTTCAATCAAGCAGAATTAAAATTGATTTAAGTGAAAATTTTCTAATTTTCGGGGATTGGACTGGGTTGGTACACGCTTCGATCGGAATAAGGAGATTAGGAGCGACTGCATTATCGAGGACATTGTAAGATGGAGGCGAGGAGAAGACGGAGAGAGAAGAATCACGTTGATGGCGGAAGATCGATTAGCCAAAATAGTAAGAGAGTCGAAAGACCAAATACAAGATCACTAGGGAGACCGCCAAGACGATGATATGAGAGCTGGACATCATCATCTCAAAATTAAAACGCACGTTGGAGATAACAGGGCACAACCCTAATACATAAGAAGAAGTAAAAGAAGAAGAAGAAGAAGAAGAAGAAGAAGAAGAAGGATTAGATTACCTTGTCAAATAAGAATCTGTTGGTTGTCCTCTAGTTTGAAGGTGTTCTCAGTTTGTGACGCTCATCTCGTACACTGAGGTCTAAAGGTTCGGTTTGCTCTATTGATTGATTTTGAATGCTTTCTTGCATTCTTTCCAAGTCGAACTCTCTAAGTGTCACCAACAAGTCTAAAGTATTACCAGCCGCCGGATGGTCGTTCGTTACGACATTGTCTCTGAAACTGGCTTCTCGTTCGTCCGCAACGCATCTTGACTCAGCTGGATTCAACTCTCGGCTCAATTGGATGTTAATAGTGGAATTCCTTTGTCTTTCAATTATCGATTGGAAATTCCTTATTGCTTCGTTTGTATCAATCGATTTGCGTAATAAATTACTTATAATGAAATAAGTCTCGTACAAGTATTCATTTTCGGTGGGCGCCTTCTGTAAAGCTTCAAGCATCGCTAGTAAAAGAAGCTCCGATTTAAATAAGTTTGAATGTCGCCCGAAGCGTGATTTTTTTTTAGACATTCCAGCTTTCATACATTTTTGGAACCGACAAGTTTGACACAACTTTCGACTTTTTTTATCGATTGTACATTTGTTGTCATTTCTGCACGGTCTCGGTGTGTTCTGCCTGTTAGACATACGGCCGAAGAATGACTGTAAAAGAGAATTACATAGTAATCTTATTAAAAATTATACAACACACAGGCGTGCACAAATACAATCATATTTAAGTGTCGATATCTGCAGACACATGGATATTTACGTTTAAAGAGGATTGCATTTATAACCACTTGCATGTGCCACCAAAGCACTCACATAATGATTGATAAAGTTTTAATTATTGATAAAATTTATTAAAGAAGTACTGAAATAAATTAAACAAAACAAATTGGTTATGACGTTATTAACCGCCGAATTATTATTGACTTTGTAGCTATACATGTCTCGGCGCTTGATAGCGTCTCCAGATTTACGCCACTGAGACTCACATGGCGAGATGAAGGAACGGAATATTTCGCTGACGCATTCGTAGAAATTAATGCATGTTCGTTGCTCGTTAAATTGATCTACAAACGCACGTATCGTCGCACCGGGCATCTAACAGTCTCACGGTTACGCTTGTCAGACGATCATGAATTTTCGCGCCAAAGCGCTCGACCCGACCCCTCCCGACCTTCGACACGTCTGAGAGAATCGCAGTGCGGCGCGCGGTTCATCCATATAAATTAATCGGATTATCGAGACAAACGAAGCATTATCATGGCCGTGATAGAGGCCGTGCTTTCGCGTCAGCCAGATACGTCGACGGAGAAACCGGCCATATGACCGAATCATATAAAGGGTAGACGGCCGGTGTGTAAGCCACGCGCGTTTCTACCGGATTAAACGTCAGGGTTTAATGTTACGCGCGTCACGTGAATTAGCATGCCTGCGCCTAGAAGAGAAGCGCGCGCGCGTGAGAAAGAAAGGGGACTGCGAGAGTGACGAGGAGGACGCGAGGGAGTGCGAGCGAAGGGTGAAGGGAGCGGAAGAAGAGATGGAGAAAGAGCGGAAAGACGATGGAAGAGGGTGGAGGAGGAGGAGGAGATAGAGTATATACGTGGCGTGGCCGCTCGTAAAGTTAAACGCCTGTCGGCCGACGATAAAACTGCCTCGAGAAGACCCGCTGCTTCGAAAGGCGCGCGCGCGCGCGGTCTCGCTCGCACGGTCATCGAGCACTAATTTACGATGCAGCTTTTGCAGTCTTTCGCCGCTTGCACCCGCCGCGAAATTTCGAGGCACGCCGCAACGCGAGCGCGCGGCGCCCGCGATCGATAAGTTTCGCGTCATTTAGCCGCGGCTTCTGTACACGAGAGGAATCTTTCAGTCAATTATTATTTATTATTTTGAAGGCTGACCGGGTCTTTCCAGATCCAGATCGAGCTTGATCTGCGTTGTCATCTTTTTCTTTGGCGAGCTCTCGCAGATGCATTCTGAAGGATTGTCTTCATCCTGGATTCTAGGAAAATATTTCATGTTAGCGATGCTTGTCGGAGTCCCAGATTATCGAAAAATATTATTTACGATACAAATTGACGTCTATTAAATATAATACGGATGATCGCAAGTTATAATATTTCATTATCAATTTATCGCTGTAGTTATTCAATATTAAATTCACTATTAAATGCTACTTTTAGTTTATCTTGTGTGATCAATATTTTGCTGCACGTTGAGATGCGTTAAATTATTCTTTGAATTTTGTTTAAAGGAAGCAATTAATTTTGGTACATAAACTTATTTTAATATCTAATCATATTACAATGATTAAGCTCAACGTCGAATCTAATTAACTCGTTCCAAATGACTGCGCTTTATCAACCGTTATGTCCGACCGTATGTAGATCTCGTTTAACTTTTATCCGCGGTGCATCTTCCTTAAGATTGAATACGCGATCGTGCCTTGTTAAAGTGTAGTTATCGCATCGCTCGGTAATGTTACTCGCGGAGGAGCGATATGGTGCGCTACGTTAGGACTGTTACGAGATCGCGAGATCTACGCAACTCCGTGTATCCGCGTTCTCACGCTTCCCCCCGTTGTTACGATGTTACGTCATAAGCGATTAACGCGTAATACGCGCGAGCAGGAGGCGGAAGGTGAGACTTGAAAAGTCACTGTGTTGCGTCGTCGCGAAGGACGCGGATTCCGGGCTACATCTGATCGGCGAGACGCGCGTGGGCGGGCTGGTAACGGTCCGAAATCCTGAAAGCTCGCGCGCGTAGCGGTACACATCCCGATCTGGACTAACGAATCGAATGCGATGAGGTGTCCACGGTGGCCGATACACGACCCACATATCGGACTGGATGATTCGTCGGACTTCCGGATGATCGTTGCATCGATGTCACTGTTGTGAGTCACGCGAATGACGCGAGTGAAAGAAAAACTCGTGCAATTATTTGCGCAAAGTCCAAATATCGATGAAACACACATTTGTCATATTGCGGAAGTCGTCTTGTAAATACGTCTTGTAAACGTATAATTATATAATTTAACCGCTAAATTAATAATTAGACTGGAATTTATCACACGAATGTGATTAATTCTTCATTTAAGAAAACCGCATTTATTGAATTTTAAATCAGACTCACTTTACATTCCGCGGATTATAGAAATTATTCGGATAGAGGAGAAATGATTAAACTAGAAAATCTACAGCTTGAGAAAGAAATTATAATTTGTACATGACACTAAACCATAAGTTGCAATTGGCGAACGAACGATGCGGATCGTAATGTGTGCGAAACGCGCGGCAAACGACGGCGTGCAAATCTTTCGCCGGCAATCTCGGATCGCGGCGATCCGAATACGTTGAAAATAGCTCGTACGCCAGATGATCTTTAGCTGTCGTCACGACTGTGTGAAAGAGGTCACGGTGCCATCCTGCATGCGGGAGTCCAAGCATATGTACGTGCGCCATCGGTACCATCGCCAAATGACGCTTCCGCCTTGATTTGCCGAGCAGACAACATATAAGCGTAGCATACATTTGATTCTAAATTTCGCAATTAGATATGTGTGCCGTGCAATTAAAAAATATAGATAAGCTCTTTGCATTCATTTTTATCACATTAATTTATCAATAATGCGGCAATATATATATATATATTCACAATAAATATAGCGTTGCGTTTGCCTGAATAGAAAACTTGAAAACTCCATAATTTTAACTAGCATACAAGCGGTTCGTCGAAAAAGTCCACGTCCAATCGAGCTAGACGTGAGAGAAATCGTGCGATACTCACGCGCGAGAGACGTTTCGGTGTCAGGGAGGTCGGCGCGATTTACGTACCGATTTATCAGTATGTCGCGGATGTTGCGTGCTCGGTCGATTTGCGCGGCGTAATTGATTCGGGCGGCGCGCCTCCGCCATATCGGGTTCTGTATCGCCGCGAAATCGGGAAAAGTGGTCAACGTTCTTAAAGCGCCGCGGATGACTTGGTCTTTCGTGGACGGCGATTGCATCGCCGGATCGGTCGACATACGCTCACTCGGTCAGCTGTGTACGGACAGGCTCCGACGAAGGGAGACAACGGGATTCGCGATATTGCGTAACGCCGTGCCGTGCAAGCGCGTGTTCGCTCGGCTTTCCAAGTTTTTGCACAGTTCCTCGTCCGGTCGTTGGACGTACATACCGACTGTACGAACCCGGCACCGGTCGGAATCAGCGACGAGACCGCGACACGGCAGCGATAGAGACGACGACGGCAATAGCAGCAACAACGACGGCAAAACAACCGGTCCCCGTACGCGGAGAACGCACGGCGGCTGGAACGCGCCATTTAGGGGCGCGTGCGACAAATTCGTCGAGAGAAGCTGGGATTATCTCAAATCAGGCGGCACGCACGGAATCCCGGATCGATTTGTAACGCCATAAAGCGGCGACGCGGAGAAATCAGAATCGTGTCCGTGATCGTGAAAAGAAACGAAAAACGGAAAGTGAATAGCATCTTCGGACTCAAATTGATCGATTTTTTAAACGATAAGTTTCTTTTATAAAGAATGTGAAAATGTAGCACGCGAGACTGTAATTATATGAGTAGAAACGGATAGAAGAAATCTCGTTGATGATGTCAGAATTATGGGAATGAATGGAATAGTGGGAATCACGAGCGAACAGAATATTTTCTCAGCACTACGATGAGAATGTCGTTGGTATGACACTCGATAACTCGATCAGCGGCGCGACGATAATGTTCCCCGAGGGAGAAACGCGGCAGTTTCGCGCGCGTGAGCGGAATCGATCGAAAATCTAGCACTTTTTTCACTGACAAATGGGGAGCGCGATTTGAGCGGCGATCTACGAGTTGGCATCTGAGGAATTCTGAGGTTTTCCGCGGAGATCGACGAAACGTGCCAGGCCTTCGTCGCGATTCCGCCGTCCCGACGATTCCGTGAATTAGTTACGTACGCGTTTAGCGCGATCATTATCCGCGTGACATCGCGGATATCTTCGCGACCAGCTAAGTGAGGCGACAAATATCATTTTCGCTTCGCGACGCGTCATAACTCGATATGTTGTTGCGATCGACTGAGGTAATCTCTGCTCAAAGTTGTATGCAATTTTTACCGCACGATTCGCAACATCAGTGACCTACTGAAAAATTATCTGTCTTCTTGTAAAGCGATCTTTGTTACTTTCAAGCGCTCCACTTTTTTACTTGTGTAATAAATTTTCGGCAATATATATACAAATAAATTTGTTAATCTGATTTTTCAATATTACGCCGAAATCTTACGTAAAATAATTGTGCTTTATAAAATAGTCATATTTTGTGAAAATAGAAATTTTCGTTGAAATATATATATTAATGCATCGATTACTTCGTCAGCGCAAATATTGTACACAAACGTACATTAAGACTGAGAATTTTATCATATCAATGGCGTTCAACTGGCAATTTTGTAAAACAATATCTGTTACTCTTGTCATGTAAAGTATCGCGGAACAAACGTTTGATCGCACGCTACAATACGCGGAAATATAATAAACACCGATCGCGGCGATAGTCACGCTATTTCCTAAAGGGACGATTATCCCTCCCGCCCTCCCAAACGTGAACGACCTGCGGGGGAAAAAAGGTGGAAATTACTTTTGGAAAAAGGAGCGAGG